AGGTGTAAACGGTTTGATTACCCGCACCTCGGTTCGAGATAAAAGAACGCTAGTTGTTTCCAGACCGGACCGGAGATAGAGGGACTGTGATGGATCTCGCATTAACGTATTACTATTCTCAGGTGTTTTTTTTTATATATAGCCAACAATACATAACCACGGTTGTTTCTCCTTCTACCCCACTCCTACCATCAAGCTTTCCAGCCATCATGTTTGGTTGCTCGCTACTCCTCTAACTTTCGTTTGGCTTCAAAATATTTGTAAAATCACCGACCTCTCGTAGAATTACACTAGAAAGTTGCCAATATTAACATCTACCTTGATGAATCGAAAACACGAATGAGATGGGATAACGATACGACTACGTACATGTACCCCGGGTACGCACCCTCACTCTGGCACATACAGTCGATCCGCAGCGGCGGTCTGGAGGAGACATTACGCACACACTAGCGTAGCGTACTGTTGGGCCGCGGTGGACACCGAGACGGCGTACACGTACAATGCTACTCCACAGCACACACGATTCACCGGTTCGCTCGCAGTGGAAATGATTTATAATGCAATAATAATTGGTGATTAAAACAAGTTTCTTTCTTAGTTTGTCATATAAGATTGCGAAGAATATTTACAGCAATACAATTTAAATTATGCAGATTCATTGGCCCTAGTAACGTTGAAACTGTTCCGTTTACTGCGGATTTTTGTTCATTTTTCGCTTTTTTAGTGGCTGCAAATCCACTAAATCCAATGATATTGAAAACGTTATAAAATAATAAAAAAAATAAACGACCCGGCAATCAATATTGGGCGAAAGCTGACTTTGTGCGACATTTTGTTTTAAATAAAAGTGCTCGTCGTCATGTTCGCTTTAGTATTAGGTTCGACTAATTCGCGGCGAAGGTAGCTCGTATTCCCACCCATGCACTGCTATCACCGAATAATGATAAGGTTGTCGTGCTTTATTTCTTAAGTAACTATCTGTTTTAACTGATACCCTGTCACATTGTTGACAAAGACTGGGTTCATGAACATGTCACGAGCCATGACCTCACTAGTGAGCGTTATTTGTACTTATAGTCGGACTAATGCATGTTTATGTTTATACTCTGTTACCGTAGATACCGGACATAGCTGTGTATCTATAATGAATAGCTGCCAGTTCGAGGTGAGGTCAAATGCCATGTCAAAATCATTGTGTCAATTTGGTCTCCCAGCTATAATGGTTCAAATATATACATTTCATTCGTACATTAAATGTTATAATTTTGATTACGAATATCTATTCAGCATTTTGTCGCACTCCTTTGATCATTTTTATTCCAGGTTCGAATGTTAATCTTATTGCATCCAACACGGTGTAATACTATCAACTTACTACATAAGAGTAGCTGTCATTGCCTTTCTCACACACATATTTGTAACTTATGTATACGATTGAGGTCTCTTGCGAGAAATATAGTCTTGGATATGAAGTCTAGTCCGGGTAACTTGAAATGGTGTTATATCTGCCTTAAAATTAACCGCCCAAAGATCAACATATGTTTGGGAAATTGTGGTACTTCTGAGTCAGAACTACGAACTATTATGCCGGAATTCTCTGATGAGAAAAGAGAACCATTCTCTAATTTTCAAAAGGCATATATGTTATAATACTAGCAGCCCCAGATCATTAAATTTATGTTTATCATTATAATCTATTTATTACGCAATGCTACAATACAATAGACGTTTTCATGCAATTTCGCATTGAGAGCTGCCTAACTGTGAGCTGCCAAGTCTACTATAGACAGACCAGCAACGCTTATTGTTGTAGGTGTGAATTGGGGATTACGCCTGTAGGATGCGTGCCTCGGCGGACCTTGCTGGTAGTTTATTAACCCGGAGATTCCCGAACGCACTCGCATTTACCTGCTACGTGTATTCTCAAAATTTCATTCTAGTGCCAAAAGCACAGGCTCATACTTTTCGTTCAAACCGGATATGAAATCTGTGTGTTTCGACTTTTCTATCGTCAATGTTTATTTTTAAAACGGCCATTTTTTGGGTGAGTTACAGCATTTTAACGTCTCATAATCTGGTCTACGATATTTATGAATATATAATGAGCAACTTCACAGTAGTGTTTCTCATTATTTAGAATTTTCGCAAAAATTCAGAAAAAGTTCTAATAGTGTTGTCGACGACGACTATGACCCTTTTGTGGACGCTTCGTAGTTTGTGTGAACAATCCGTCTGCAACTACGCAATTTAATTGAATATTCAGTAGAAATCTGATATTTATGCTCATCGGAGCCTAACTTTTAGCTATCTACATTTTTTACAGAATTATGGAGAATAAACACTGAAATAACGTGCATATGTTTTGTCGCATTTGTGGAGAAAAAAAAGGAAATTTAAGTTGGCATCATCATTCACTACGTCTTGTGTACATTTCGTACTATTTCGCGTTATTTGATGAATTACTAATATGTATCGCGTTATTACGTTATAGTCGCGATAGTGATCGGTTGAAGTTAAGCCCCAAAACAAACGTGGCACGCATCTTCCCAAAGGAAATGACGCGTTACTAGTCTGACTATAGTAGTCTTAGCTAATATTAACTCACGTCATTATATACTTGTGAGTACTGACAACATCACATTGAAGTCACCGATATGATCAGAGTTTATGTCAATTGCCCCTCGTATGAGATCTGATGCAAACCCAGCCTTGGAGATTTTTTTAGTATTATCAACACTTCATTAACGTGTTTCTCCTGATGTTATGTTATTAACATAAAAGTCAAAAGTATACAAGTCATTCCACAAGTTATGAAAACGAAAGGACTTACAACATTTCGTGCATAAATCCTGGTAGGTTTAAAACGTGGGCTTTATAATTTAAATAAATTCAGTCTCTCCGATGAGGGCAAATAAATTAGGAGAGATGATGAAGGGAATTACAAAAGCTGCATATTTTTCCCGACTGTGCCAACCACTGTATTAGATGGAAGACCCGAACAGTCATTGATTTGGACCGGTGGATTTGAGACAAGGCATAAGGATACACCCATGTATGCATATACAACTACATATTGTTTTTTATAAATATTCGTGTTAAATTGGTCCCATATTTAGTAGATGCCAGTATTTTACTAGTTTTATCGATTTGACAATGTACTGGTGAAACATACTAGGAATAACTCTCCAGTATACGCGAGACATTACACGTTTCGCTACGTATATGCACGAGCAACTAGAATATATTGAGTGAATTGTGTAATATTTCACGACATACGTACTTTCAGTTGGGGTTATTGCTTAAATATAATACGACTGTTACGACACTGACATGCTGACTGTATTTTGATAACAGAAATTGTGCGTACTGTTAATTATACTAACTGTTAGTAACAAAAATATGAGGTTATTACGAGAATACCTCAAAGTATGCACGAAGACAGTACAGCTGGACTATCGACCGACGCGCAGTGGAGGTTGATGCACGTCGTACTTCCAAGGACACATCATGGGAGTGCTGAAATCCAAATTGTTTAGAACACAATCAGCAAACTTCTTTGTTTGGAGTCCGGTCAAATACATGGTTCACACGTAACATT